TACCTAACTCATTTTATGAGGCCAGCATCATCCTGATACCAAAGCCTGGCAGAGACACAACAAAAAAAGAGAATTTTAGACCAATATCCCTGATGAACATCAATGCAAAAATCATCAATAAAAGACTGGAAAACCAAATTCGGCAGCACATCAAAAAGCTTATCCACCATGATCAAGTGGGCTTCATCCCTGGGATGCAAGACTGGTTCAACACACGCAAATCAAAAAATGTAATCCATCATATAAACAGAACCAAAGACAAAAACCACATGATTATCTCAATAGATGCAGAAAAAGCCTTTGACAAAATTCAACAGCCTTCATGCTAAAAACTCTCAATAAACTAGGTATTGATGGGACGCATCTCAAAATAATAAGAGCTATGTATGACAAACTCACAGCCAATATCATACTGAATGGGCAAAAACTGGAAGCATTCTCTTTGAAAACTGGCACAAGACAGGGATGTCTTCTCTCACCACTCCTATTCAACATAGTGTTGGAAGCTCTGGCCAGGGCAATCAGGCAGGAGAAAGAAATAATGGGTATTCAATTAGGAAAAGAGGAAGTCAAATTGTCCCTGTTTTCAGATGACATGACTGTATATATAGAAAACCCCATCGCTTCAACCCAAAATCTCCTTAAGCTGATAAGCAACTTCAGCAAAGTCTCAGGGTACAAAATCAATGTGCAAAAATCACAACCATTCCTATACACCAATAACAGACAAACAGAGAGCCAAATCATGAGTGAACTCCCATTCACAATTGCTTCAAAGAGAATAAAATACCTAGAAATCCAACTTACAAGGGATGTGAGGGACTTCTTCAAGGAGAACTACAAACCACTGCTCAACAAAATAAAAGAGGACACAAACAAATAGAAGAACATTCCATGCTCATGGATAGGAAGAATCAAGGTAATTTATAGATTCAATGCCATTCCCATCAAGCTAAAAATGACTTTCTTCACAGAATTGGAAAGAAATACTTTAAAGTTCATATGGAACTAAAAGAGAGCCCGCATTGCCAAGACAATCCTAAGCCAAAAGATCAAAGATGGAAGCAAATTTACAAGAAAAAAATCAAACCACCCCATCAAAAAGTGGGCAAAGAATGTGAACAGACATTTCTCAATAGAGGACATTTATGCAGCCAACAGACATATGAAAAAATGCTCATCATCACTGGTCATCAGAGAAATGCAAATCAAAACCACAATGAGATACCATCTCACACCAGTTAGAATGGTGATCATTAAAAAGTCAGGAAACAACAGATACTGTAGAGGACGTGGAAAAACAGGAACACTTTTACACTGTTGGGGGGACTGTAAACTAGTTCAACCATTGTGGAAGACAGTGTGGCAATTCATCTAGGATCTAGAACTAGAAATACCATTTGACCCAGCCATCTCATTACTGGGTATATACCCAAAGGATTACAAATCATGCTGGTATAAAGACACATGCACATGTATATTTATTGTGGCACTATTCACAATAGCAAAGACTTGGAACCAACCCACATGTCCATCAATGATAGACTGGATTAAGAAAATGTGGCACATATACACCATGGAATACTATGCAGCCATAAAAAAGGATGAGTTCATGTCCTTTGTAGGGACATGGATGAAGCTGGAAACCATCATTCTGAGCAAACTGTCACCAGAACAGAAATCCAAACACTGCATGTTCTCACTCATAGGTTGGAATCGAATAATGAGAACACTTGGACACAGGCAGGGGAACATCACACACCGGGGTCGTGGGGTGGGGGGAGGGGGAGGGAGAGCATTAGGAGATATACTTAATGTAAATGACAAGTTAATGGGTGCAGCACACCAACATGGCACATGCATACCTATGTAACAAACCTGCACAGTGTACACATGTACCCTAGAACTTGAAATATAATTTAAAAGAAAGAAAAAAGCATTCTAAAATTCAAATGGAACCAAAAAAGAGACTGCATAGCCAAAGCAAGACTTAGCAAAAAGAACAAATCTGGGGGCAACACATTATCTGACTTCAAACTATACTATAAGGCCATAGTCACCAAAACAGCATGGTACTGGTATAAAAATAGGCACATAGACCAATAAAACAGAACAGAGAACCCATAAATAAACCCAAATACTTACATCCACCTGATCTTAGACAAAGAAAACAAAAACATAAAGAAAGGACACCCTATTCAACAAATGTTGCTGGGATAATTGGCACACTATATGTTGAAGAATCAAACTGGATCTCATCTCTCACCTTATACAAAAATCAACTCAAGATGGCTCCAAGACTTAAATTTAAGACCTGTAACTGTAAAGATTCTAGAAGATAACATCAGAAAAACCCTTCTAGAAATTGGCTTAGGCAAACACTTCATGACCAAGAACCCAAAAGCAAATGCAACAAAAACAAAGATAAATAGATGGAACCTACTTAAACTAAAAAGCTTCTGCACAGTACAAGAAATAATCCGCAGTGTTAACAGACAACCCACAGAGTGGGAGAAAATCTTCACAATCAATACATCTGACAAGGGCTAATATCAAGAATCTAAAAGGAACTCAAATGAACAAGAAAAAAAAAAAAACAATCTCATCAAAAAAGTAGGGAAAGGACATGAAGAGACAATTCTCAAAAGAAGATATACAAATGGCCAAAAAGCATATAGAAAAATGCTCAACATCAATAACAATCAGGGAAATGCAAATCGAAATCACAATGTGATACCATATCACTCCTGCAGGAATGGCCATTATCAAAAAATAAAAAAAATAAAAAATACATGTTGGCATCAATGCATTGAAATGGGAATACTTTTATACCACAGGTGGGAATGTAAACTGGTACAACCACTATGGAAAACAGTGGGGGGAGATTCCTTAAAGAACTAAAAGTAGGTCTACTGTTTGATTCATTAATCCCACTACTAGGTATCTACCCAGAGGAAAACAAGGCATTATACAAAAAATATACTTGCACACGCATGTTTACAGCACATGCATGTTTTGCAACTGCAAAAATATGGAACCAGCCCAAATGCCCAACAATCAATGAATGGATAAAGAAAATGTGGTAAATATATACAATGGAATACTACTCAGCAATAAAAATGAATGAAATAATGGCATTCACAGCAACCTGCATGGAAGTGGAGACTATTATTTTAAGTGAAGTAACTCAGGAATGGAAAACCAAATATCATTATGTTTTCACTCATATGTAGGAGCTAAACTATGAGGATGCAAAGGCATAAGAATAATACATTGGATTTTGCGGACTCGGGGAAAAGGGTGGGGGATGGCAAGGGATAAAATACTACACATTGGGTACAATGTACCCGACTCAGATGATGGGTGTGCCAAAATCTCAGAAATCATTACTAAAGAACTTATTCATGTAATCATATACCAACTGTTCCAAAAAACCTATGGAAACAGAAAAATAATAAAAATTAAAAATCTCATGTACTCTCTAAATATATAAACCCACTATGTACCCCCCAAAATTTAAAAACTTTGTAAGGTAAAAAATACATTGTAAACATTTGTGGAAAGTAAAATAAATCCTGAGACACAATTAATGCAGTGCTGAAAGAGAAATTAATAGCACTAATTGAATAAGCCATAAAAGAATAAAAGTCTCAAGTTCATAATCTGAGTTTCCACCTCTAGAACCTAGAAACAGAACATAACCCCAAAACAAGTGAAAGAAAGAAAATAGTAAATAAAATCAGATAAATCAATGAACTTGAAGAAATTATTTTAATATTAGAGAAAAATCAATTAAATATCTGGTTCTCTGAAAATATCAATAAATTTAGTAAATCTCAATCAAGATGGACAAAGAAAAAAATAAAACCACAATTTATTAGTATCAAGAATGAAACAGGGGATGTGACTATAAAACCTCCAGACATGAAAACAATAATATGGTAATACTATGATGAGCTCTTCACACAGACATCTGACAACTTAGGTAAAATAAACTGTTTATTTAAAAAATACAAACTCTCACAAGAAATTCAATATGAAATATATTATTGGAATAGCTCTAGAACCCTAGAGAAAATTACATTCATAATTTTAAAACTCCCAAAAAGAAATCTCCAATCACAGATTGTTTCACCAAATCAGTCTAACAAGTATTAAAAGAATTATAACCAATTCCTTATAATCTTTTCCAGAATGTAAAGAACTCTTTCCAATTCATTTTATGAAGCTACTATTTCACTGATATCAAATTTAGAAAATAAAACAGTACAAGAAAACTGCAGACCAATATCCCTCATGAACAAAATACAAAAATATTTAGCACACTACTAGCAAATAAAATTCAGCAGAAAATTTTAACATGTATCATGACCAAGTGGGCTTCATTCCAGTGGTATAAGATTTGCTCAATATTCAAACATACAGAAATCAATGTACTTCACCATATTAACAGGTTAAAGATGAAAAATATATATATACAAGCATATCTCAGATACTGCTGTTTCAGTTCCACACAACTGCCTAAAGCAAATATCACAATAAAGTGAGTCACAAAAATTTTTCGGTTTCCCAGTGCATATAAAAGTTATGTTTAAGGCCGGGCGCGGTGGCTCAAGCCTGTAATCCCAGCACTTTGGGAGGCCGAGGCGGGCGGATCACGAGGTCAGGAGATCGAGACCATCCTGGCTAACACGGTGAAACCCCGTCTCTACTAAAAATACAAAAAAAAAAAAAATTAGCCGGGCGAGGTGGTGGGCGCCTGTAGTCCCAGCTACTCGGGAGGCTGAGGCAGGAGAATGGTGGGAACCCAGGAGGTGGAGCTTGCAGTGAGCTGAGATCCGGTCACTGCACTCCAGCCTGGGCGACAGAGCAAGACTCCGTCTCAAAAAAAAAAAAAAAAAAAAAAAAAAATAATAAAAAAAAAATAAATAAAAGTTATGTTTATACTACACTTCAGTCTCTTAAGTGTACAATAGCATTATGTCTAGAAATGTACATACCTTAATTTAAAAATACTTCATTGTTAAAAATGCTATCTGAGCCTTCATTGAGTTGGAATGTTTTTGCTAGTGGAGGGTCTTTCCTCGATGTTGATGGCTGCTGACTGATCAGGGTGGTGGTTCCTGAAGGTTGGAGTGCTGTGGCGTTTTCTTAAAATAAGACAACAATGAAGTTTGCAACATCAATGGATTCTCATGCAAGATTTCTCTCTAGCATGCAATGCTGTTAGATAGCATTTTTTTTTAAAACAAGGTCTCATTCTCTCACCCAGGTTGGAGGACAGTGGTGTAATCATGGCTCACTGCAACCTCAAACTCCTGGCCTCAAGTGATCCTCCCACCTTGGCCTCCCAAATCACTGGGATTACAGGCATGAGCCAACACACCTGGCCTGACAGAATTTTACCCACAGGAGAACTTCTCTCAAAACTAGAGTCAATCCTCTCAAATCTTGCCACTGCTTAATCAACTAGGTTTACGTAATATTCTAAAATTTTTGTTGTCATTTCAACAATGTTCATAGCATCTTCACCAGGAGTAGAATTCTCTCAAGAAACCACTTTTTTTTTGCTCAGCCATAAGAAACAACTCTTCATCCGTTATAGTTGTATCATGAAATTCCAGCAATTCTGTCACATCTTCAGGCTCCACTTCTAATTCTACTTGTCTTGCTATCTTCATCACATCAACAGTGGCTTCCTCCACAGAAGCCTTTAACCCCCCAGTGTCATCCATAAGGGTTGGAATCAACATATTCCAAATTCCTGTTAATGTTGATATTTTGACTTCCTCCCCTGAAGTACAAATGTTCTTAATGGCATCTATAACAGTGAATCATTTCCAGAAGGTTTTCAATTTATTTTTTCAAGATCCATCAGAGGAATCATTATTTCTGGCAGCTAGAGCCTTATGAAATGTATTTCTTAAATAAGACTTGAAAGTCAAAATTACTCGTTGATCCACAGGCTGTAGAGGGGATATTCTGTTACCAAGAATGAAAACAACATTAATCTACTCGTACATCTCCATCAGAGCTCTTGGGTCACTAGATGCACTGTCAATAAGTAGTAATATTTTATGAGTCCTTCTGAGCAGTAGGTCTCAACAGTGGGCTTAAAATATTCAATAAACCATGCTCTAAACAGGTATGCTGTCATCCAGGCTTTATAGTTCCATCGATAGAGCTTAGACTGAGTAGATTTAGCATAATTTTAATGGTCCTAGGATTTTAGAATGGTAAATGAGCATTGGCTTCAACTTAAAGTCACCATCTGCATCAGCCCCTAACAAGAGTCAGCCTGTGCTTTGAAGCCAGACATTGACTTCTCCTAGATGGCAGCTCCTTCCAATAGAACGGTGTTTTATCAACATTCAAAATCTGCTGTCTATTGTAACCACCTTCCTCAACTATCTTAGCTAGTTCTTGTGGAGTACTTGCTGCAGCTTTTCCATCAGCACTTGCTGCTTCACCTTGTATTTTTATGTTATGAAGACAGCTTCTTTCCTTAAACCTCATGAACCAACTTTTGGTAGCTTCCAATTTTTATTCTGCAGCTTCTTCACCTCTCTCAGCCCTCATATAATTGAAGACAGTTAGGGTCTTGCTCCGAATTAGGCTATGGCTTAAGGGAATTTTGTGGCTTATTTGATCTAATATCCAGACCATTAGAAGTTTCTTCCTACCGCCAATAAGACAGTTTTACTTTCGTGTCCTTTATGTGTTTACTGGAGTAGCATTTTTAATTTCTTTTAAGAACTTTTCCTTTTCACAACTTGGCTGTTTGGTGCAAGCAACCTGTTTTCAGACTATCTTGGCTTTCAAAATGTCCTCTTCACTAAGTGTAATCATTTCTGGCCTTTGATCTAAAGTGAGAAATATGCTACTCTTCCTTTCACTTGAATATTTACAGGCCATTGTGTCTCAGAAAATAGGGAGACAAGACGAGAAGGAGAGACAGGAAATGGGAGGGGAAGCGGGTTAATGGCCAGTCCATGGATTAATCAGAACACACACATTTATTGATTTAGTTTGTCATCTTACATGGGCATGGTTTGTGGCACCTCAAAACAATTAGAATATAGCATCAAAGATCACTGATCACAAATCACCATAATAGATATAATGACAACGAAAAAGGTTGAAATATTGTGAGAATTATCAAAATGTGACACATGCTGCTGGAAAAATGGCACTCATGGACTTGCTTGACACAGAGTTGCCAAAACCCTTCAATTTGTTTAAAAAATTGCCATACTTGCAAATTGCAATAAAGTGAAGCACAATAAGACAAAGTATATATATATATGTGTGTGTGTGTATCTATCTATCTATCTATCTATCTATCTATCTATCTATCTATCTATCTATATATCTCCTTCAGTGCAGAAAAAGCATTTGCTAAAATTCAACACATTTACATGATACAGACTCTCTGAAAACCAGGAATACATGAGAACTTCCTCAACTTGATAAAGAACATCTATGAAATGCCTACAGCTAGCATTATACTTGATGGTGAAAAGCTGAATGTTTTCTCCCTACAATTGGGAACAAGGCAAGGATGTATGCTCTTACTACTCCTAATTGACATAGTTCTAGTAATTCCAGACACTGCAATAAGGCAAGATAAGGATATAACAGTATATATAATTACATATAACAGTATATATTGTTATATATAACAGTATATATTGTTATATATAACAATATAAAATTGGAAAGGAAGAAATAATAGTATCCCTATTAGTAGATGATATACTTGTCTATGTAGAAAATCCCAAGGCACCCACAAAACACTCCCAGAACTAATAAGTGAATTCAGCAAGGTCTCAGGATACAAGATCAACATAAAATCAAGTGTATCTGTAAATATTAGCAATGACCATGTGAACAACAAAATTAAAAATACAATACCATTTATAATTTACATTTGGCCAAAGGCTGAAATACTTAGGTATAAATATAACAAAATATAGAGAGGATCTGTATGCTGAAAACTACACAATGCTGATGAAAAAGTATTAGGGAAGATCTAAATAGATGCAGAGGTATGAATGCATGGATTGGAATACTTAAAATAGAAATAAGTCAATTTTCCCTAAATAGATATACAGACTTAAGACAATTCCTACAAAAACCCTAGCAAGATATTTGGTAGATATAGACAAGATTATTCTAAAATATATATGGAAAGATAAAGAAACTAAAACAGTTACAACAATTTTGAAAAGAAAGTGGAAAGAAACATTCTTCTTGATTTGAACAGTTATATAGTCACAGTAATCAAGATTGTGTGGAATTAATGCTGGAATAGACAGGCTAGTGGAAGAGAAACAGACCCACATAAATAAGCCTAATACTTGACAGAGGTGCAAATTCAAGTTGCCTTTTCAAAAATGGAATGCTGGAGCAATTCTGCATCCATAGGTAATAAACCTCTATCTGATTCTCATGTCTTTTACCAAAGTTACTAAAAATGGATCAAAGACTTAAATATAATACAACAAACTATAAAACTTTTAGCAAAAAAAAAAAAAAAAAAAAAAAAAAAAAGCAGAAGAAAATACATAGGATCTAGGGCTAGGCAGAATTTTTAGACTTGACACCAAAAGCACAATTCATAAAGGAAAAATCGATAGACTGAATTTTATCAACATAAAGTTTTTGTTCCGTGAAATACTCTGTTAAGAAGATGAAAGACAAACTACAGGTTAGAAGAAAATATTTAACTGCATATCCAATAAAGGACCAGTATCTAGAATGTGCTCTCAAAACTCAAGAGTAAAAATAAATCAAATTAGAAAGCAAGCAAAAGGCATGAAAATACATTTTAGCAAAGAGGATATACAGATGGCAAACAGGCACATAAAAAGATGATCAACATCACTAGCCACTAAGGAAATGCAAATTAAAAACACAAATGAGATATCACTGCACACCTGTCAGATGGGCTAAAATACAAAGTAGTCCAATAAGCACAGGAAAAGATGCTCAGCATCATTACTCATTAGAGAAATGCAAACCAAAACCATGAGATACACGTAATGCCCACTAGGATGGCTATTAACAAAATGATAATAACAAGTGTTGATGAAGATGTGGAGAAATTAAAACCCTTATACATTTGCTGGAGGGAATATAAAATGGTACATCTGCTTTGCAAAACAATCTGACAGTTTCTCAGTAAATTAAACATAAAGTTAGCACATGACCCACCAATTCCACTCCCTGGGTGCATACTCAAGTGAACTGAAACCATATGTCAACAAAAAGACTTGTACAAAAATGTTCATAGCAGCATTATTCATAACAACCAAAAGACAGAAACAACCCAAATGTTCATTAACTAGTGAATCAATAAACTACATGTAGTATATCTATAAATGGAATATTGTTTGGGCATTAAAATGAATGAAGTACTGATACAGGCTACTACATGCATAGACCTGGAAAACATACAAAGTGGAAGAAACTAGTCACAAAATACCACAAATGTTATGATTACATTTAGATGAAATGCTCAGAATAGACAAATCTGTTAAAACAGAAAGTAGATTAGTGGTTGCCTTGGGCTGGAGGAAATGCGTTGATTAGGGGATGATGGCTAAGAGATGCAGGATTTCTTTTTGGGGTAATGAAAATGTTCTAACATGAATTGTCATAATGGAATCATAACTTTGAAAACATTAAAAGCCACCAAATTGTACACTTTAAGCAGGTGCATTGTATGATGTATAAATTATATCTCAGTAAAGCTGTCCCCAAAGTAAAATATAATGATGAAGGCAACAATAATCTGGTGGCTAAAAAGAATATTTTAGTCATTATGTACTCTAGGAATATACTGAAGGAGGTAGTTTGTGTTGAATTGTACTAGTACCTGAATTAACCCTGAAGTACTGGCACCATGGTGAAACTAGACGTTTCAGGCAAAAGCTGGGGCAAACCCAGAAAACCTTGAAGATATGTACAGTCAGCATCACATAACGATGTTTTGGTCAACAACGGATCACATATATGTTGGTGGTCCCATAAGATTATAATAGAGCTGAAAAATTCCCATCACCTAGTGACTCTGCAACCATTATAACATTGTAGCATAAGGCATTACTCATATGTTTGTGGTGATGCTGGTGTAAACAAACACACTATGCTGCCAGTCACACAAACATAGAGCATATGCAATTATATACAGTAAATAATACTTGACAATGATAATAAACAACTATGTTACTGGTTTATGTATTTACTTCACCATATTTTTTATTGTTATTTTAGAGTGTACACTTTGTACTTAATTTTTTTTTTTTTTAAGTTAACTGTAAAACAGTCTCAGGCAGGCCCTCCAGGAGGTATTCCAGAAGGCATTGTTATCATGGTAGGTGACAGCTTCATGCATGTTATCGCCCCTGGAGATCTTCTAGTGGCACAAGTTGTGGAAGTAGAAGAGAATGATATTGATGATCCTGGTCCTGTGTTGGCCTACACTAATGTGTGTGTGTGTCTTACTTTTGACAAAAAGTTTTAAAAGTTAAAAGAAATGAAATTAAATTAAAATTGAAAAGCTTATAGAATAAGGATATAAAGAATGCATATTGTATAGCTATACAATGTGTTTGTGTTTTAAGCTAAGTGTTATTATAAATAAATTTAAGTTAAAACCTTTTCAAAATTCACGAAGTTAAAAGTTATAGTAAGTGAAGGTTTATTATTAAATAAAAATTTAAAAATAAATTTTCTGTAGCCTAAGCATACAGTGTTTATAAAGTCTACAGTATGTATAGCAATGTCCTAGGTTTTCACATTCAATCACCACTCACTCACTGATGTACCCAGAGCAACTTCCAGTTCTACAAGCTCCATTCACTGGAAGTGTCAAACACAGGTGTACCATTTTTAATCTTTTACACCATATTTTTACTCTCCATTTTCTATGTTTAGATACATAAACACTTGTCTTTGGGTTACAATTGCCTGCAGAATTTACTATAGTAACAGCTGGAGAAGTTTGTAGCCTAGGAACATCAGGCTATACCATATAGTCTGGTTGTATAATAGACTTGTATTAGTCCATTCTAATGCTGCTATAAAGAACTGCTCGAGACTAGGAAAGAGGTTTGACTCACAGTTTCGCAGGGCTGGGGAGGCCTCAGGAAACTTACAATCATGGTGGAAGAAAGCAAACGTGTCCTTCACATGGCAGCAAAAGGGAAAAGCGCCGAGCAGTAGGGGGAAAGCCCCTTATAAAACCATCAGATCTCGTGGGAACTCACTCAATATCACGAGAATAGCATGAGGGTAACTGCTCCCATGATTAAATTACCTCTGAGCACCGGGTCCATCCCATGACACATGGGGATATGGGACTACAATTCAAGGTGAGATTTAGGTGGGGACACAGAGCTAAACCATATCAAGGTATACCATCTAGATTTGTGTAAGTATACTCTATGATATTCGCATAATGACAAAATTGCCTAACAATTCATTTCTCAGAAAGAAACCCTACAGTTAAGTGATACATGACTGTACTCAAATGCTGCCCACCAGATGACTAGAGACCCCTTTTTTCTGTAGCCTCTTTGTTAACACTGACCTAGGTCTTTATTGTCTCATAACTGATGACCAAAATCCACTAACTGGTCTTTTTCCTTTTATTCTCTGCCCCACAAAGCTTTTGCCTACATTTACAGCCATATTTGCACATCCCTGCCTCATCTCCTTTTGAGTTAAAAAGTTCTAGCAGCACTCCACTTTCAAGAGCTAAACATGCAAAGTTTGTCATTCAAGGTCCTTCCTAATCTGGCCGCCTCCTAACTTTTTGCACTCTTTAATATACTTCCCAGGTGATCTCATTCACCTCTTCTTTTTTAAACTATCAACCAACTTACTAATGGCTTCCATATCTAGATCTCCCATCTCAACCTACATTCATTTGAGTATCCATCTCCACGTGAATGTCTTCCATAGGCACTTCACAGGCTCTGGAACCAGACTGAGTTTGAATCTCGGCTTCAACTTGTGCTGTGTGACCCTGGAAAAGTTACATAATCTTATATGAAAATTGGAATACTAATAATTGCACCTACCTTATAGGATTGTTATGAGTATCACATTAATTAATACATATATACTGCTTAAGACACTGACTGCAGTGTGGTAAGTGATCAGTTCATGTTAGCTTAAATTATAATTACTATTATTCACTAAACTGAATGTGTCATCTTCCTGTCTTACTTGGTCCTTTCCATGTGTTCTTTCCTCATTATCTCTCCAGTCTCTGCAACCAAAAACTTGGGACTCTTAACTACCTCCTTCCTTTTCTTCTTATTAAAACAAGAACAAATACGAAATGGCTTTACCCATATTATTCTTAGTCTTTTTTCCCTCTCTATCACTATTACTTATACTCGATTTTAGGCATTTTAAGAACTATAATACCTCCTACACAATCTCCCTTCCTCTGATGTTGTCTTCTTCAAATTCATCCTCTAAACTACCCACAGAGCAATATACATAAAAGGTAAGTTAAAACAAATAAATGAAATGCTAGTCTGACCAAATCATGTCCATATTTACAATTATGTAATGGCAATTCACACACTTGCTTAAGTCCAAGCACAATGCCCCCCACACTCCTCTCTACTTATCTAATTCGTTACTATATATACCAACTTATCTACTTATCTAATTTATACCTTTCAAAGCTATTAATGATTAGTGGATGCCCATGAGACCATAGCATTTGTGCAACCCTTGATCTATATTACCTTATATTTCATTTCTTTATGAAAATATTATCTTGGCATATTGGGTTTTAATGCTCCCCAAAGTCAAGAACCATTGCTTATATCTCTCTATATATTTTACTTCATTATTTTCTAAACTACAGGCCACGACCAATTAAAGCAATTAAGTGTGTCACACTAGCATTGTTTTAAAAAATAAAACAGAATAAAAGATATCAGAGAGCACTGCACACAATAAGAATAAAATTCCAGTTATCAATTTACTGCCTTCAGTTCCAAAAGCCCTTCTCAGCAGACTCATCCAGTAAATGGTGAACAGCAATGTGCAGCATCACCCCATGGGAAGCTTCTCTCTGGCAATCCTTTAGGCAAAGAGTGCCATCAGTGTGGCTTCTTCCCATAAAATGCTTCCCTATCACCACCCAAGCAGTTTCCCAAAAAAATGCTGCTTGCATGACACCTCCACATGAATGGCTACCCCTACTACTTCCTCAGGCACCTCTGAAGTAGGTTCCAAGGCAGGGTACCTCTTCATGAATAATTCCCCATAGGATTTCAGAAAACAAAATTCCCCAGATTCTCTGTGAGTCATTTCAGTGTAGCATCTCAGCTAATTTCTCTACCAAACAGTGAGTCATGACCATGACCTTTCCAACAAGGTCTAGATCTCAGTCCTGGGCCAAGGGAAAGACGGTCTTCTAGGTTTATTCCTTCACTGGGCACTCTATCCCAGCATTAAGAGTAGTAACTGCTCCCTATGTCTGCTATTCCTGTATTCTTTTTTAAAATTTAACTTTGAGTTCTGGGATACATCTGCTGCATGTGCAGGTTGGTTACATAGATTTACATGTGCCATGGTGGTTTGCTGCACCTATCAAACAGTCATTTAGGTTTTAAGCCCCACAAGCACTAAGTATTTGTCCTAATTCCCTACCTCCTCTTGTCCCTCACCACCTGACAGGCCCCGGTGTGAGATGTTCCCCTCCCAGTGTCCATGTGTTCTCATTGTTCAACTCCCACCTATGACTAAAAATTTGTGGTGTTTGGTTTTCTGTTTCAGTGTTAGTTTGCTGAGGATGACGGTTTCCAGCTTCATCTGTGTCCCTGCAAAGGACATGAACTCATTCTTTTTTATGGCTGCATAGTATTCCATGGTGTATATGTGCCACATTTTCTTTATCCAGTCTATCATTGATGGGCATTTGGGTTGGCTCCAACTCTTTCCTATTGTACAAACTGCTGCAATAAATATATGTGTGCATGTGTCTTTATAGTAGAGTGATTTATAATCCTTTGGGTATATACCCAGTAATGGGATTGCTGGGTCAAATGGTATTTCTGGTTCTAGATCCCCAAGGACTCACCACACTGTTTTCCACAATGGTTGAACTAACTTACACTCCCACCAACAGTGTACATTTCCTATTTCTCTACATCCTCCCCAGCATCTGTTGTTTCCAGACTTTTAATGATCACCATTCTAAATGGCGTGAGATGGTATCTCCTTTTAGTTTGATTTGCATTTCTCTAATGACCAGTAATAATGAGCTTTTTTCATATGTTTCTTGGCCACATAAATGTCTTCTTTTGACAAGTGTCATATCTTTCACCCACTTTTTGATGGGTTTGATTTTTTTTCTTGTAAATTTGTTTGAGTTCATTGTAGATTTTGGATATCAGACCTTTGCAGATGGTTAGATTGCAAAAATTTTCTCCCATTCTGTAGGTTGTCTGTTCACTCTGACGACAGTTTCTTTTGCTGAGCAGAAGCTCTTTAGTTTAATGAGATTCCATTTGTCAATTTTGGCTTTTGTTGTAGTTGCTTTTGGCATTTTAGTCATGAAGTCTTTGCCCAAGCCTGTGTCCTGAATGGTATTGCCTAGGTTTTCTCCTAGGGTTTTCATGGGTTTACGATTTAAGTCTATAATCCACCTTGCATTACTTTTTGCATAAGGTGTAAGGAAGGGGTCCAGTTTCTGTTTTCTGCATATGGCTAGTCAGTTTTCCCAGCACCATTTATTAAATAGAAAATCAGTTCCCCATTGCTTGTTTTTGTCAGGTTTGTCAAAAATCGGATGGTTGTAGATATATGGTGTTATTTCTGAGTCCTCTGTTCTGTTCCATTAGTCTATATATCTGTTTTGGTACCAGTATTATGCCATATTGGTTACTGTAGCCTTTAGTATAGTTTGAAGTCAGGTAGCATGATACCTTCAGCTTTGTTCTTTTTCCTTAGGATTATCTTGGCTATACAGGCTCTTTTTTGGTTCCATATGAAATTTAAAGTAGTTTTTTTCTAATTCTGTGAAGAAAGTAAATGGTAGCTTGATGGGAATAGCATTGAATCTACAAATACTTTAGGTAGTATGGCCATTTTCATGATACTGATTCTTCCTATCCATGAAAATGGAATGTTTTTCCATTTGTTTGTGTCCTCTCTTACTTCCTTGAGAAGTGGTTTTAGTTTTCCTTGAAGAGGTCTTTCACGTGCCTTGTAAGTTGTATTCCTAGGTATATTATTCTCTTTGTAGCAATTGTGAATGGGAGTTCACTCATGATTTAGCTTTCTGTTTGTCTATTACTAGTGTATAGAAATACTTGTAATTTTTGCACATTGATTTTTGTATCCTGAGACTTTGTTGAAGTTGCTTAACAGCTTAAGGAGTATTTGGGCTGAGATGATAGGCTTTTTAAAATATACAATCATGTCATCTTCAAACAGAGACAATTTGACTTCCTCTCCTCGTATTTGAATACCCTTTATTTCTTTCTCTTGCCTGATTGCTCTGGCCAGAATTTCCAATACTATGATGAATAGGAGTGGGGAGAGAGGGTATCCTTGTCTTGTGCCAGTTTTCAAAGGGAATGCTTCCAGCTTTTATCTATTTGGTATGATATTGGCTATCGGTTTGTCATAAACAGCTCTTATTATTTTGAGATATGTACCATCAATACCTAGTTTATGGAGAGTTTTTAGCATAAAGGTGTGTTGAATTTTATCAAAGGCCTTTTTTTGCACCTATTATCATGTAGTTTTTCTCACTGGTTCTGTTTATGTGATGGATTACATTTATTGATTTGCATATGTTGAACCAGCTTTGCATCCCAGGGATGAAGCTAACTTGATCATGGTGAATAATCTTTTTGATGTGCTGCTGGGTTCAGTTTGCCAGTATTTTATTTAAGATATTTGCCTCAATGTTCATCAGGGATATTGGCCTAAAGCTTTCTTTTCTTGTTGTGTCTCTGCCAGGTTTTGGAATCAGGATGATGCTGGCCTCATAAAATGAGTTAGGGAGAAGTCCCTCTTTTTCTATTGTTTGGAATAGTATTAGAAGGAAGGGTACCAGTTCCTATTAGTACTTCTGGAAGAATTAGGCTGTACATCCATCTGGTCCTGGCTTTTTTGGTTGATAGGGTGTTAATTACTGCCTCAATTCCAGAACTTGTTATTGGTCTATTCAGGGATTCGACTTCTTTTTGGTTTAGTCGTGGGAGGGTGTATGTGTCCAGGAATTTATCCATTTCTTCTAGATTTTCTAATGTATTTGCATAGAGGTGTTTATAGTATTCTCTGATGGTTGTTTGTATTTCTGTGTGATCAGTGGTGATGTCCCCTTTATCATTTTTTATTGTGTCTATTTGATTCTTCTCTCTTTTCTTCTTTATTAGTCTAGCTAGTGGTCTACCTATTTTGTTAGTCTTTTCAGAAAACCAGCTCCTGGATTCATTTTTTTTTTTTTTTGAATGAGTTTTCTTGTCTCTATCTCCTTCAGTTCTGCTCTGATCTTAGTTATTTATTGTCTTCTGCTAGCCTTTGAATTTGTTTGGTCTTGCTTCTCTACTTATTTTAATGCGATGTTAGGGTGTTGATTTTAGATTTTTCCCGCTTTCTGATGTGGGCATTTGGTGCTATAAATTTCCCTCTAAACACTGCTTTAGCTGTATCCCAGAAATTCTGGTATGTTGTATCTTTGTTCTCATTGGTTTCAAATAACATCTTTATTTCTGCCTCAGTTTCATTATGTACCCAGTAGTCATTCAGGAGCAGGTCATTCAGTTTCCATGTAGATGTGCCATTTTGAGTGAGTTTCTTAATCCTGAGTCCTAATTTGATTGCTCTGTGGTCTGAGATACTGTTTGTTATAATTTCCATTCTTTTGAATTTGCTGAGGAGTGTTTTACTTCCAATTATGTGGTCGATTTTAGAGTAAGTACTATGAGGTTCTGAGAAGAATATATATTCTGTTGATTTGGGGTGGAGAGTTCTGTAGATGTCTATTAG